CCTCAAACATTTTCCAATGGGAAAACCTCCTTGAGATCTCTAAAAGAAGTGTTTTTATTTTTAAGGAGACCAAATTTCATTAGATATTGTAAAGAGTAGTTATGAAATTTGGAAATTCAAATTGCAACAGCAAGTGAAAATGTCATATTCTCTTTATTCTGGTAAGGGCTCATAAGGGTAGCCAACTAAAAAGGCATGAACATGACTATGCTAAATGTTTATTTTTTAAAAATTCCAAAATATGTACTAAAAATTATCATTTAAATGAACTAATTTGATGAAAAGAACAATTAAAAAATAAAAACAAAAATAGATTCAAGATATTTAGGTTCTGGTCCAAACTTTCCCACTGACCAGTTGTGTGATCTTGGACAAGTCACTGCTAGCATTATATTAGTTTCCTTAAATGAGGAACTGGGGCTCTAAGGACCTTTCAAGTTCTAAAATTCTATGAATTTATATTTTGAAAAGCATCAAATATGTGTAAATGGAAGCTGTTTCTTTATCAATTTTTTTCTACTCACCTATCACACAGAGTGTTAAGAACAATAAAAAATCAAAGACACTTGAAATGTAATATCATGTTGCCTTTCACATATAAATCACCTAAATCTCACTTATAGGAACATATATTGCTAGTTTTGTTTTGTTTTTTTTAAAATGTATTGATTACAGAGAGGAAGGGAGAGGGAGAGAGATAGAAATATCAATGATGAGAGAGAATCACTGATTGGCTGCCTCCTGCATGCCCCCCACTGGGAATCCAGTCTGCAACCCTGGCATGTGGCCTGACCAGGAATCCAACTGTGACCTCCTAGTTCATAAGTTGACGCCGGCTGGGCTCTCTAGTTTTTATACAAGCAGTGGTAGTTTTTGCTTATTCCCCTACCTCTTCTTTTGTCTACTTTCTGTCAACCTTAGGGAGAAATTCACATAGAAAGTTATTTAGATTACAAGAGCAAACTACTATAACTTCGACTGTGTTGCTGAATAAACTTCCCTTTATGCTTCCCTCAGGACAAGGAGGATGCATATCTATGTTCAAACCTAGTCAGTTTTTTAAGTGGCATGTAGACAGTGGTTAAATATGCTTGTGGAAACCTACAGAGCAAATTTCAAAAATCTCCTTAATTAGCAATGTATCACTAATGAGAGCACTTTCCAGTTTTCTAGCTCTAAAGTAGACATGAAATTGATGAAAAACAGCAAGCTGAAATTCAATCTGTTTCCACCCAAGTGATGTTTTTGTAATGTTATATTAAAATATCCTATAGAGTGCCACAATCTTTTGCAGCAAGGATTCCGAATCTGGAGAAGGGGCTACGTGCAAATGGATATTCTAGATAAGAAATATAAATTTAGAAGGCATGGGGAAAGCCAGGCGGAGGCCTCACCCTCTAGTGGAGTGGCTACCTGAATCTCTGGACCCAAGGCTTTTTATTTACTAGAATACACATTTGCCCTTCAGCAAAGCAAACAGACATATCAAAGGTAAGGTTTGGTAAACAGTAAAAAATTATCAGCTTAGAAGATTGCCCTGAGCCACCATTGTCTCGACAATCGGTGCATAGATTTTAGCCCTTGGTAAAGCCCAAGGTCCATCAGCCTTCTGATGGACCTCTCACATTTATTATGCTAACTACTTGTTGGTCTTTGCCTCCAGCAACAGAGAATGTAATACACTACACAGAGTCCATCCCCTTATTCTTAATATGTGTATATTTAATTATCACAACTTTTCAAAACAACAGAAAACTAAAAAAATCAGCTGGCCTTACTGTCAGAATCTCTACCTTCTTATTCCAGATCAATTTATAACCTCAAGCCTACACTCTATTATTTATTATCGGTACTTTCCACAAGGTACTAAAACTTGGGAAAATAATACTGAAAGTCCTTCTTAATTTCATACTAAGAACAGAGTTCTATATTTGAGTTTCTTTTAACAATACTGTACCAACTGAAGCATACAGTGCTAGTCACCTGAATAGGAAGGTACTATATCATAGCAGTGAATGACACTCACTTTACATTAACTTATCACAGCCATTGAGTGCCAAAACTGTCACTGTACAAGATTGTGTTTGTTGCCCTGAGTCTATTAACTCGGGTTGTTGTTTCTCTGTTTGGAAATAACAGAAAACACTAATAAACAATTCTTCTTTGGGGTCAAAAGCAAAGCAATTAATTGCATCTGTCATATAAAATGTGAGAGAACCAGAAGATAATAGTTCAACATGAATGATCATTTCCCTTAATAAAACAACACACTTGAAATTAGAATTTTGTGTAATATTGTCATATGGCTGCTCCAAAATGGCTCAAACTTTTGCAAATGAAGTAACTTATATATTTCTTAAATCAGCTGCCCAATAAGAGTTTTTAGAGACTTTTTCATATTTCCTTTTGCATAAAAACCATATGAATACATAAAAATCATATGCATTCCAAAAGGAATAACTTTTTCTATTTCCAGCAAAACTTCTAATTAAATTATAAAACAGAGATTTCACTCTTTGTGAATATATATCCATGATATGTTATTCAATATAATTTGAATGTACATATAATGCCTCAATTACAATAAGTTTATTTCTTAATTATACGAAACTCAAAATGTATCCTGCTGTTTGATGGGCAGTTCTCTTCAAAATGGTAATTCTGGGGCCTGGACTCATTCCATATGACATGTCTGCCATGTTCTACACCTGGCTTGTATCAGCCTGTAGTACTTTCACTTACTACCTTCAAGAGGTCATAGACTAGAAGTACCTATTACAGCATAAGGATCAAGGAAATTCCCTTCTGAAACAAACAAAAAACACAAGCAAATATTACTTTTACAAGCATTTACCCTCTCAATTCTTAACTTTCCTCTCTCACTTCACTTGATATGGCAACATAGTAATTTTATGTCCCCATTGAATAATAGAAGTGTCTTTCTTCACTCCATTCAGTCATCCAATCCCCGTTATTTTTATGTGATATGCTTATGACATACTTGTTGGTGAGTGTGTCTTTGAAAGCTCCAGGGGTGTGTGTGTGTGTATGAGTGTGGGGGGGTTAACAGTAGTAAGAGCAATTCCTTCAATGTGTCTTATATTCTGGACACAGTGTTATTTGTATGATACTCAACCAAATATATTTCTATCAAACTCTTTTCCACTCATGGATCATGGCACCTTATGGGGAAAACAGCTCTACTATTAATTGCTCTTCATCAGATCAATAAAGAATAATCAATGCCCTGACCGGTTTGGCTCAGTGGATAGAGCATCGGCCTGTGGACTGAAGGGTCTTGGGTTCGATTCTGATCAAGGGCATGTACCTAGGTTGCAGGCACATCCCCAGTAGGGGGTGTGCAGGAGGCAGCTAATCTATGTTTCTCTCTCATTGATGTTTCTAACTCTCTATCCCTCTCCCTTCCTCTCTGTAAAAAATCAATAAAATAAATTTTTTTTTAAAAAAAGAATAATCAAAACAGCAACCAACAGAATGAGAAAAGAAATATGCAAAAATACCTTAAAAGGTTAATATCCAAAATATATAAAGAGCTTATACAACTCAACAATAACAAAAAACAATACTATTAAAAAATGAGCAGAGGACCTGAACAGACACCTTTCCTAAGGACACATACAAATGGGCAACAGCTGTATGAAAAGATGTTCAACTTCATAAATTATAAGAGAAATTCTAATCAAAACCACAAGGAGCCCTAGCTGGTTTTGCTCAGTGGATAGAGTGTAGGCCTGAAGACCGAAGCATCCCAGGTTCAATTGCAGTCAAGGGCACTCACCTGGGTTGCAGGCTCCTTGGGAGCATAAGGGAGGCAACCAATCAATCTGTCTCACTCACATCGGTATTTCTCTTTGTTTCTTCCTTCTACTCTCTCTAAAAATCAATGGAAAAAATATCTCAGGTGAGGATAAAAGACAAAAAAAACCCACATCAAATGTGTTAGAATGGCTATTATCAGCAAGATAAGAAATGACATGTGTTGGAGAAGTTGTGGAGAAAAAGGAACCATCATTCACTTCTGGTAGGGAAGGCATTATGAAAGAGTCAGTATGGAGGTTCCTCAAAAAATTAAGAGACATTGAAAGACAAAAAAAAAATTAAGAAGAGAGCTAACATATGACCCAGCAAACCCTCTTATGGTTGTCTACACCAAAATGTTGAAGACATTTTTTCATAAAGATCTATGTATCCCTATGTTGAGTCCTGCATTATTCATGGTGATCAAAATATGGAAACAACTTAAGTATCCTTTGATAGATGATTTGATTTTAAAAAAGTGATATATATATATATATATATATATATATATCTCCATAAGAAAAGATGATATACAGCCATTTGCAACAACATGTATGGATCTTGAGAATATCATGCTAAGTGAAATAAAAGAGACATAAAATGTCTAAAACCATATGATTTCACTCACATGGGAGATATAATGGAAAACAACAAACAAACAAGAAAAACGAAGAAACAAAAACCCTCATCCACAGACAACAGTGTAGTGGTTCCCAGAGTGAAGGGGATGAGGGAAGCAGAAAAAGGTAAAGAGGATCAAATATTTGGTGATGGAAGGAGACTTGACTTTGGTGATGAACACATAATGCAATATACAGATGAGGTATTACAAAATTGTACACTTGAAATTTTTTTTAAGTTATTGATTTATTTTAGAGAGAGTATAAGGGGGACAGAGAGAGAGAGAGAGATAAAGATAGAGAGAAACATTGCTTTGTTGTTCTACTTATTTATGCATTCATTGGTTGATCATTGTGTGTGCCCTGACCCAGAATCAAACCTACAACTTGGGCATATGGGGATAGCATTATAAACAACTGAGCTACCTGGACAGTGCTGAAATTTATATAATCTTATTAACCAACTAGAGGCCTGATGCATGAAAATTCATGCACTCCGGGGGGGTCCCTCAGCCCAGCCTGCGCCCTCTTATAGTTCGGGAGCCCTTGGGGGATGTCCACCTGCCAGCTTAGGCCTGCTCCCCAGGAGACCAGGCTAAGCAGGAAGTCAGACATCCCTCTGGCAGCCCAGGAGCCCTCGGGGGATGTCCAACTGTGGCTTAGGCCCTAGGGCAGTGGTTTTCAACCTTCCTATTGCCATGACCCTTTAATACAGTTCCTCATGTTGTGGTGACCTCCAACCATAAAATTATTTTCGTTGCTACTTCATAACTGTAATTTTGCTACTGTTATGAATCGAAATGTAAATATCTGATATGCAGGATGTGTTTAGGCGACTCCTATGAAAGAGTCATTCGACCCCCAAAGGGGTCACGACCCACAGGTTGAGAATCGCTGCCCTACAGGGAGCAGGCCTAAGCCGCAGTCAGACATCCTTAGTGCTGCCGTGCTGGGTTGCAGCTGTCAGCCTGGCTTGTGGCCCAGCGGAGCTCCCCCTGTGGTGGCACACTGACCA